ATGTACTCTGCATGTAAATTAAATAAGCAGGGTAACAATATACAGCCTTGATGTACTTCTATCCCAATTTTGAACCAGTCGTTGTTCCATGTAGCTACTAATATTATAGTTCTTCCATGAACTGCCAAGATGTTCACAGATACCCAGGCACAAGTGCCCCCAATAGCCCAGAGACTGCAGGTATCCCTCAAATATCACATCCAAAGGACACAGAAGTGTGTAGTGACTTGACAGGTCCTCCAAAGCACTGTGCTGATACAAGCATTGTGCTGTTTGGTTCATTACATTCCCCCAGATTTTGTTCTCTGACAGTCCTATGAGGTAGGCCTCTTAGAAAGAGTCCAGATAACCTGTAAAACTTGCTCATGGAGTCTGTAGATGGCTAAACCCAGGGCGATCCTGGTCATGCCACACTTGAGCTGACTCTGTGTTCAGTGCCCAGAGTCACGCTGTGTGGGTGTGACCTTCAGCTCTGGGGTATGTGCTGTGCCCTCTACACCACCTGTCTGTGCCACAGTTCATCTGTAAATTAAAGGGTATAATCGGAGTGCTTTGAAGATCAAGTAAGTTAATACGAGTAAGTCATCTAGATCAGGGGCCATCAAGCTGTGTCCTGTGGACCTCATCCAGCCCCACCCCTGTTTGGGAAAATTCAGTGTCGCTGGAAGACAGCCGTACCCGTTCCTTCCAGTACCAGTTACCTCTGGCTGCCTTCTCACTGCAGCAGCAGAATTGCGCTCTGCGTGCAACAAGACCATCTGGCCCACAAACTGAGAACGTTTTCTGTCTGGTCCTTTACAAAAGTTTGCCAACACCTGAGTTGGATGAATGCTTGGTGAAAACTCAGTGTTCAGGAAGTGGTGACTGTCGTTGTCACTGTTCCTGTTAAAGTTGACACACAGGTCTTGGAGCACAGTCTCGCCCCATCCACTGAGGGCCTAGTGCAGTTCAGACTTCAGGTAGTGTATCCTTCAGTCGTCATTCTGAAGCCTCACACTAAGGACACCCGTACAGTTGGCCAAGTTTTAGGCCTCCGTTACAGGCCAGTGTCATGAGGGCAGTAACCTGATGGAATGCCTGATGGAAAGTTCCTACTTTCAGAGGAAACTGCAGTCACTCTGATTAATTGAGTATAGCTGACCTGTCAACAATCCCTGGGTCCTGGCGGAGCTGCAGCATGGCTTTTCCAGGTCAGACAAACAAATGTGTTTGCTCGGAAAGCAAGAGGCAGTGGACTGCTTTTCCCCTTTACTAGATCACGATGGTCATGCCGTCTGGGGATGGGAAAGGTTATCACCTAGAAGGCCCTGCTATTTCTGGAGGTCAAGTCTAAAATAAGGAGAAAGAGAAACTCATCAAGATTTGCCAAAAACAGAAAAATAACAGCCCTTTCACTGACCCCAGGAGAACTCCTGGATGAATTGGCATCAGTCCAAAGCTAACATAGAACCATTTGTCACACAGCATGCCGCTCCATCTGTGAAGGCTGTGAAGATTATGTCCCTCCTTTGACTAAAATCTTTCACCAACTTCTCATTTTAACCTAAAATCAGAATTCTGCGATCTGCCCTGCTACTTCTCTGACCTCAATTTGCCACCCTCCTCCCTCCTGCTCACTGGGATCCGTGGCATCAGCCTCCTTTCCTCCCGGCAGGTGCCAGGCTGTCCTGCCCGAGCTGTGTGCTGCTCCCCTCGCCCTCGCCTGCCTGGCACGCCGTGTCCCCGCATCTCCACGGGGCTGCCGCATCCCGCTTGTGTGGTGGATCTCAGCTCAGAGGGCACTTCCCCAAGCCGTTTTCTCTCAAGATCTCCCACTCAGGTCCTCCATTACGTCTTCCTCTTCCACTCTGTGCAGAGCGCTCACTACTGACTGAAATTATCTTATTTGCTTGTTTGATAAGCATCTTCCTCCATGAGTACATGAACTCTATGAGACCCTAGAATTTCCCTGGTACATGATTGGTCCTTAGTAAGTAGTTGTTTGATGAAGAATCAATGAGGCGGCAAGGTTTTTACCTCACAATTTACCAAAAGTCTGATGTAAAGAACTGTAAAAGATAAAAAAGAACTTTCTAGGGAAAATTAATTTGGGTCAAAGAGCAAGGTGTCATTGGAGTGTTGTTAGTATAACGTGGCAGAGACTGTGTCAGGCGGAGCTCTCCTGGATGTGCTTCCAAAAGATCTTCGGATAGGCGCATCCTGTTTCCTGCCGCTTAGGCTGGACTTCCCTACTCGAAAAGTCTATGGAAGTGTGTTTTAACTAGCAATTCCATTCCTCCTTGTTACTCTTCATCAAAGTGCCCTTAAGGCCAGCAGACAAATGAAATTTCCCTGAGTGCTGAGTTCACCAAAATGTCTGCAGGTAATTTTTTCCTTTCAAGTAGTTTTTCCTCTAGCAGCGTGGTCAAAAGGTCAGTCAAGTCCCTCTTTCAGAAGAGAACAAAAGTCACTTATAAACACTTTTGAACTTTTAGTTAATGGTTCCATTTCCAGTTTTAAAAAAAAGTGAAAAGTGATTAACGTATAAAAGCCCATTAAGGAAAATCATGTTGTATGTGAGAGTGTGTGCTCATTCGCTGTCATGTTTGACTCTGTGACCCCTTGGACTGTAGGCTCCTCTGTCCATGGAGTTTTCCTGGCAAGAATACCGGAGCGCATTGCCATTTCCTACTCCAGAGGATCATCCTGACCCAGGTATCAAACCCACATCTCTTACATCTCCTACATTGACAGACAAATTCTTTACCACTATGCCATTTATGAATCTACATATGCCAGAGTAGTTCTCTCATATTCTCACAAAAACTAAAACTGGATTTGTCATATGGAAGAAATGATGTCATTAACTCTTGGAAAGACCTCAACCATAAGTTCTTTTGCACTATTACAAAAATTAGACAAATAGTCCATACAGAATGTGAGACCTAAACAGCCCCTTAAATTATCTATACTGGCAAACTAAGACTACCATGAAAGCAGGCATCTGTTCTTCAGGAATGTCTCTCAGGAACAAACGTGTCTAATTCATTTTTCAACAGTATGTGGATATTGTCACTGAAAATGTATTTAAATCTGCATATAAGGTAAAATGTGCACAGTCCATACATGTGAAAAGTTCTAGATAAACTTTAGAAATCAAAAACAAGGAAGAGTTTAAAGTAATTTAATGAAAAGAAAAACTACATGTAATATTCTGTGTATTTAGATGAAAGAAGCTTAGCCTAGTACAGATCTTATTTTCTAGCCCAGATACTATTTTTTCAGTTGTGTGGCAAAAAGCTTACTGGTTCATTCACCATTCATTAATTCACTCAACAGTGACTTATTAAGTTCCTACTATGTACCAGGTGAGCTTCTAGAATAAAACTTATATACTTGTGAAGGGAGACAGACAATTATCCAAAAGAAAAGAAAACCCACAGAACTTACATACTAGACAGTTATAAAAAAAAAACAAGTAAATTCAATTCCATATTTAAATCCAGAAGTTTTAAATGTCAAGCAAATGATCTGACCAAGATCAAGCTAGTCTTGACCAAGCTTTAATATTCTTCATGTAAATTATTGAATGTTGGTCTGAACAGACTTAAGAAATATTAACTCTAGCAAGAAATAGACACAGGTTCGAGTGAGAATTTCAAAGTGGGACAGATGAGCAGTGTGTCTTCTAGTAGGATTTTATTTTTAATGAACTGAAAAAGGATTGGCCCCTGATTTTACTGAAGCAAATTAAATATTGGGCATTTGCTCTAATCATGTAACAAAAGGCATTTTCTAAATGGAATTTATAAAATAAAAAAAGCTTTTCATCTATTTGGTGGTTTAGAAAGGCCAGTCTTTCCTGGAACCACACATTTTGCTTTAAAATTAAATATTGGGCATTTGCTCTAATCATGTAACAAAAGGCATTTTCTAAATGGAATTTATAAAATAAAAAAAGCTTTTCATCTATTTGGTGGCTTAGAAAGGCCAGTCTTTCCTGGAACCACACATTTTGCTTTCTCCACAGAGTGCTCCTCTGAGAAAGGTTTAAAGGGAAGCACGTGTGTGCAGGAAAACAGGGCCTGGGGCTCTGGGGCTCTTGCTGGGCTCTGCCAGGGTGCAGACGACTCTACAACCTTGTTTAAACCATCACTGAATTTAAACCTCACAACCCACCCAGACACGCAAAGGAAAATGACTGGAAACAGAGAGTTAAGTAATTTGTCCAGGGTTTGCACAGCTAGTCGGTCGATGGGAGAATGTAGGTTTGAATTTAGGTCTGACTCAAAGAGTCCACCCTGGAGGAGAGCACAGTGATCCACTCCAGTGTTCTTGCCTGGAAAATCCCACGGATAGAGGGGCCTGGTGGGCTACAGTCCATAGCGCCCCACAGAGTTGGCCATGACTGAAGCGACTTAGCATGCACGCACGCAAGCGAGTCCATAAACCCTCAACTGCTTCACTGGGACCTCTCTCAGTTGAGAAATATCTGGTGAACTTGAATTTGAATCGAGACAGCATTATGGGCCATTTGACTATTTCCCTAAAGTGAACTGCTCAAGTCCCCTGGATAAACTCCTGGCATTTGACAGGCTTGTTTTAATGATGCTGGTCAAAGATATTTTGTCCCAGTGCTTTTGTTTTTCACTGTGGATCTTCACTGTGGGTTTTGCCTTAAATTTTTTATTCTTACTTTAAGTTTGTTAATAAACCTTATCAAAAGGAAATTCATGACATAGTTAAATGCTGAGAGACCAGGGGACAAACTTAGGGCTGGAAATAGTGACCTGGTTTCTCTAGATATTACAGTAAAATTACTGATTTTTAGGCCACTGTTTTTTTTTGTACCAGAAGTGTTTGACTAAATTAGGTTACAGCCTGTAGGCCCTTCACCTGTCTCTCACATAAATAAAACTTCCCAAGAGTGGCCTCTCAGCCCTGCTCATTGGATGACTGACAGAAAAACATTTGAGCTAGTAAAAATTACCTTTTTTTTGTTTGTTTCAGGAGAAACTCAGTTCCCTCAAATGAGTGTGGGTATGATATGAAGATCTGCTCAAAGCCAAAGGTAAGTGATAAAATGTCTGTGAAAGGATCCTTCTATGCCTCAGACTCTTCGATTATAGGATATGGAATTGAAATTAATGAGACACGTTTCACAGAAATGAGCAGATCTAAGATTAGAAGTATATCATGATTTAAAGACAACTCCAAATTTATTTTTAGGCTACATGAATCTTTCAAGGTTCCAGAGTTAAAAAAAAAAAACACATACTCTGGTTAGTTTAAGCAAAAAAAAAATTTTTTTTGTTAAAGGTTTTAAGTAGTTCTCAGAATCTTAGTGAGGACAAGAGAATCAACCATGGATGCTCTGAGACCAGGAGCTATGCACAAGTTACCTGGGAGGATGGCTCTAGAAGATACCCCACTATCCCTGTCTCTCTAGGTCCAGACAGCCCATCTCCCACCCCCAGTGCTAGAAACTAAAGGCTACTGCTAGGGCCGCAGGCCACGGTCTCTAGAAGGTGCTGCTTCTCCGTCTACCTGTCATCATGGATTCTGTAACGTACCATGCTCTTCCCCGAGTTCTCGGTTAGGTGGGTCTGATTGGCAGAATCTGGACCCTACATCCTCAAATCTAAGGTGCCAAAAGAGTTTATGACTTCTCTGGAGAGCAGACTCTTAAATTAGTACATTCTCCAAATACAAAATGAGCCCAAAGGTAATGAGTAGCCACATAACATGACAAATGCCCACTTCAGTGAAGCAGTATGACCTCAGCTTCCCCTCCATGCCTGGGGAGACTGAGTCATGCCTTGCCAGGGTAGTTAATGCTCCACGGGGCAGACGCATGACCAGTGGGAAAATGAGGAGTGGGGACGAGCTAACAGATAAATTCCTTCCTTTTTCTGTCCCCTGATTGGCTGCCTTGAGATGCAGTAGCTTCTCTGGTCTTACTGGACACATCCCATGAGATGGAGCGTTAACTCTACGTGTTGCCAGCCACAGGCATACTCCAGCCTCCCTCACTGCCTGTCTCCTCACTGTTGCTTTCCTGACGGCATCTCCTTAGAAAGTGGCAGCTCATCGGCTTTTCCTGTAGGCTTCTTGCAACCCAGACTACAAGAGCATCTCTTGCAGATGCAATACATTCTCACTAGAGTCAATTATTTTCTCTCGATAACTGGTAATAGCAGCTTGTGCTGATTTGTAAACCTGTGTTTCCTTTAACTGTCACTCATTTTGAAACTTTTCTATTATCTCTATTTTTTTTCTCATGTGCAAAAAAAAAAAGGAAATTATTCACTGGGTAGGGTTGGGCTGTGAGAGCGGCAGAGTACGAATTAACTGGCTTCTAGTTAACTGCCCTCTAGTTAACTGCCCTCTAGTTTCCTAAATGAGCCGTTGTGTCTCATTTCTCTGTGCCTTCTCTCAGATTATTTTCTCTTCTAAAAAGTTGTTTGCCCTTTCTTTGTTCTTGAAAACTGAGCTTGGCTGTCTCCTCTTTAAGAAAACTGTCTTGAGGACCTCTGATCCCAAATCTAATTTACACTGGGCTGGGTATTCCCATAATATACTGTATGTCGTATTTATGTGGGCCATGCCGGACGTTGCTTGTTGGTTTTCCTTGAAAATCTGTCTTCCCTAAAGGGTCGTAAGCATTTTAGGGGCAAAGACAGGTCTCATTTGGCATTGTAGCCCCAGCTTGAATCAGTGTAACTGGCACTTAATGATTAGTCAGTAAAACAGCTGCTGAATATGTGGTTAATACTTACGGGATGACTCATGGAATAATTCCATTCATGATCCCTGTGCCATGCTGTGGCAGTGCTTGGGAAAGCCCCCATCCAAGCCCTTTCCTGGCTGGAAGAGCTGCTCCACCCTTGCGCCCAGCTAAGAGGTGGTAATTGCATTGCAGCGTCCTACTTGACAAACCCCAGTAGTTTCCCCAGGAAGGAAGAAAACCTTATGAAAGGATTTAGTGTCATATGTGTGCTTGATTCCTGAGTGAGTGAATGAGGGTGATAAAAAAATATAAGTGTAAATTCAGCTAGGATTAGCTTCATAAATGACCAGTGGTTTTGTTATCCACATACCACTTGGCCAGTGGACAAAAATAGTTGTTTAAAAAAAAGACAGTTAATTGCTCTCGTATTTGGTAACTCTGCCTAAAGTTAGTCCTCATTTTGTATATGTGTCCAAATACGTTCTAATTTTCTGTTTAGAAGAAGAGGGAAACAGGAAGATGGACAGGGCCACAAAATGCAGGGTTTGTAGGTCATTTAATGAGTCTGGTCACACACAATAGGGAATAATAGGTTACCAAAGATGAACAAGATTATTGGTAAACTTCAAAGTTACAAGTCTCTAATCTTTTGGTTTACATTCTGAAATAAGTAGTTGAGTTTTTTAACTGTTTATATCATATAGAAATTAGTAGTATTAAAAACTATTCTAACAGTTTTCACTAAAAAGACCTCTTAGGTTTAGTATAAAATGTGGGAAAGTGAAATCTATTTGAGAGACTGAATGTCAGTTGACTGTATTTGAGAATCCGAATATGGGAGTGAATGTTTTTATTTTCCTGCCTGGGTTTTAACTGGTATGTGCCTTCATACCCTAAATGCTGGTATATCCTAAGAAGAACATTCTAACTTTCATGCATAAAAGATGAAAATATGTTCTTTTGTTAAGAATCAGTCTCTCTACTGTTGTTTATCGTTTCTCAGGTGCCATCTGGTGGATAAAAACTAAAATGCCGTTTTCTGTTTAGGAATGAAACAAAGATGAGGTTCTCAAATTTCACTGGCAGGAAGTCATTAAAGAATATGAACTGAATTGGTTGAAGATTAATTTTGCTTACACTTTTGGTGTTCGATTTTCCACATTAAATAGACATTCTGGGGTCAGACGTAATGGAGAGGACACACTAGTGCTCTCCTGGATTTGGTAGGCTTTGAGTTCTGCTCAAATCTCTCACAGTAAATAGCAAGATGATTTGCTTTTGTTTTTGCTTTTCTAAAGAGCTTCCAAGTTAAAGGACGAGATTAGCTCTAGATAGAAAAGAATCAGATTGTTCCTGGACTTCTCAGTGGCAATACTGGATATAATAGAAAAGAGAACAATATCTTCAGTGTTTCTGAGGGAGAATTTCTCTATTTCTCTAGAGTACTGTACTGAGCCAAGCTCTCCTTCAGGTACGAGCAAAGTAAAAGCACTTTCAGACATACATGGGTAAGAAAGTTATCCTTTTGTATGAGTTCTCTCTAAAAGAGTTACTAATTTCAATGTCATCTTTATTAGGACCTGTGTTTCAGTTTAACTTTAGATATTTTCCTTTTTTTGCTATTGCAATTTTGGTGTTTATTTCTTTTTTTTTCTTTTTTAAAATTGGCATGTCCATGATGTCTTCTGACTGGTTGTTTCTATGATGAAGGCAGTTCTTTTTGCACACTAATCTGGTATCCATCCATCTCATAAACTCTCATATTGTTTATAACAGATTTTTAACTGAGTTTATTGGGTTTTGCAGGTATACAGTTATCTATGAATAATAATAATGTACCACTCTTCCAGTGTTTATACCTCTTATGTATTTCTCTTGTCTAATTGCATTGGTTAAGCCTCTAGAGTTATGCTAAATAATAGTGGTGACTGTGGACATAATTGTCTTGTTGTTGATTTTAATGGGAGTACTTCTAGTGTTTCCTAACTAAACATAAATACTGGCTTTTAAGAAATATGGATCTTTCCTATATTGTGAAGATTTTAAAAATTAATTATGGATGTTGAAATTCATCAAATGCCTTTCCAGCCCATTTGAAGAAAATTGTATACTTTTTCTCCCTTTTAACCTATTTTATCAACCAGAGTTCACTTGCAGAAAAGTGAAAGGGAATTAATACAGGGAATAAACTGCTTATGAATCAGTGGAGAGCTAGAGGTGCAAGCTTCTCTGGGAATATCGCCCAAATCCACACTGAAGACCTGGCCCACCAGGAGACCCGCTCCCCCTGCCACAGTAGGAAGTCACGCCTCCACTCTTAGCTCCAAGAGTACACTGTCTTCATGTGGTCTGGGAACAAGAAGTTGCTATCAGAATTCTTGCCTGCAGGAACATACCTCTCTCTCTCATACCTCTGAATAAGGAAACTGATGCTAGAATTGGCAGCTGTGGGGTTTCACTGCGTCTGCCGTGACTGTCCTGGAAAAATGTGCCTCACCACCGTGCTTTCCCCTACTCAGTTGAGTTCTGAAATGGAATTCCACACAAATACATCTGATTAGCAAAATAGATTTTACATTGTGAACCCTAACTACAAGGGAGCCTGGGAAATGAGGATTCTGAGCTTTTCAGTCTCTGCAGTATATAGATGCTGAGTGAGCCAATGAATGGTACCCAACCACTTCGTAACATAGGGAATAATATTGAAACGTTCTTATGATACTGGGTGGGGACAAAGTAGTTTTCTTTTAATTCTTCCAATATGTTACTGGATTCTGTTTGCTGAAACTTGGTAAACATTTTCTGCAGCAATATTCATAGCTAATTTCTTTTTTGTGCTATTGCTGTCAGATTTTGGTAACAAACATATGCTGCTATTAGAATTTGGAAGTTTCCCACTCTTTATCTCTGCTCTGGAACAATTTAAAATGCATCAGAGGCTGTTTGTTCTGTTAAGTTTCATAATATCAGTCTGTGAAGTCCTCTGGGCCTGGTGCTCTTTGGGAGCCTACCATTTTAATATTTTTTCCTTTTTCTTAGGTTTTTAATATTTAATTTAAATTTTTAATTTTCCAACTTAGTAAATTGTATTTTCTTAGAGAAATGATCCATTTTATCTGGATTTTCAAATTTATTTGCAGGCAGTTGTGAGCAAAGTTGCCGCCTGTGATTCTTTTTTTTTTTTTCATTTTTCTTAATGTATGTTTAGTGGGGCTTTCTTGATTTTAATTCTTGATCAGGTTAGCCAGTGATTTATCTGTCCTAACTGGTTAAATTTATTCATTAGTATTGTCATTTCCCTGTTTTTTATTTTATTTTTTTTTATATTTCTTAATTCATTTCTCCTTTATTCCTGTTTTGATTATTGATTTTTCCCCCATCTTCTTGAGTTGAGTGGTTAGTTCATTTATTTTTATTCTTTCTTATTTATTAATATAACTACTGAAATTGCTTATTTTCTTCTGAGGATGGATTTAGCTGTATTCCATGTATGTTGGTTTATAGTGTTACCAATGTATTTTAATTAGATTGCAGTTTTAGTTTTCATATTTTCTTTGACTTGGGAGTCTTAAATATTTATGTAATAGAGTCTTTATGTGTTTCCACTTTTGTATATGTGTGTGTGTGATCAGAGGATTATATCTGCATTGTTTCTGCTTTTTGACATTTATTGAGGTTTTGCTGGCTGAAATATATGGTCGTTTTTGTGACAAAAATTACCCACTTCATGAGTGTTAAAAAAAGTATAATCTATGTTTTCAATGAATACATTTCAGGATATGTCAATTAGAATTATCTTATCAATCTATCATCTAATCTACTCCATACTGAAAGCTCCTGTCTGTGCCCTTCTTCGTAGTCTCCCCATGGCCTGACAGCCTTAAAGAAAGAAAACAATTCTGCAACAGATGCCTGATAGCTACAATCCCAAGCTCTGCCAAGTAAGTGAGCATCCCTGCCTCCCAAGCTAAGGACTAGCCTTTGCAGAAATATTGACAGACAGAGGAAGCAAATCTTATTCATTTACACTGACCAATAGCCAAGTCAAGCACACACTTGGCTGTACGTATTTGTTCAAAACCAAAACCTTTCCTTTTTTTCTTTCTTTCTTTCTCTTTTGATTCCACTAAGGTTTCCACCAAGTACTTCCGCAGTCAGATCTATATCACCCTCTGAGCAATCTTTCAGTGCTGCCTACTTCCTTGCCCAAGTCAGGGTGGGCTGTCCACTTCCCTTGTATTTTCCTGTCCTTGGAAGCCTGGTTTGATAGCTATAGTCTTTCATTGATAATGGCCCTAACACTTACTGATTTTCCTTCCAATGCGAGCAAGTCATATAGTGTCTTTGTGCTCCAAATTATGCCTATCACTAGACATTTCCTTTCTGTTATATGTTATAAGCACTGGAGAAGGAAATGTCAACCCACTCCAGTATTCTCGCCTGAAGACTCCCATGGACAGAGGAGCCTGACAGTCCATGGGATCGCAAAGAGTCTGACACCACTGATCATGCATGCATGCATAAGCACCATCTGAGGCTTCCCCTATGGCTCAGCAATAAAGAATTCACCTGCAGTGCAGGAGACACAGAAGACGCAGGTTCAATCCCTGGGTCAGGAAGATCTCCTGGAGGAGGGCATGGCAACTCACTCCAGTATTCTTGCCAGAGGAGCCTGGTGGGCTATGGTCCATGGAGTTGCCAAGAGTCGGACATAACTGAAGCAACATAAGCACCAGCTAGTATTAAAATGTTAAGATTATCTCAGTCTATGTTTAACAAAAATTCAAAAAACACTGGTTTAAAAAGTAGTTCTTTTTCTCACATAAAAAAGAAGCCCAGAGATAGCCAGTATATAGCTGCTCAAATTAATATATGTAATTGTAAATAAACCTCAAACATTACAGAAGTCTCAACCACTCAGTAATATTTTCTTTATATTTTATATATATTTTAAATATATTTCTTTAATATTTTCTTTATCATTTTCATGATGTACAATTTCTTAACTTCTGCATTTATATAAAGAAATGTTTTTGATTTAAAATTTTCAAGTAAAAGTGAATATGTCACTGAAAATTTATTTTGTTCCTATGAGCTCGGAGTTCCTGACACTTTTTTTATAAATCCAAGGGAATATATGATATGATACATGAGTTTAATTTTCTATCCAACTATAGAAGAATGACCCTGTGACAGCTTCTGAAATTAATTTTTAATGGTAGGTTCATGTTCATCAGATGGGTTTGAATTTTCAGGGAAAAGTGCTCTATTGGGATTAAGGGGTATAGTCATAAAACTGTCAACCATACTAAAGATTTTTCATTTCCTAAGGCTGATTTGAATGATGTAAACCTAGGACCCCCCCAAAAAAGAATAATCAATATCCATTCAAACATAAGTGGTTATCTTCTTTATTTTTACTTGTCTCCCAAGAAAAAAATATTTTTCAAAAGAAGAAAAGAGATTAGAGGTTTTTTCGTTTGTTTTTGTTTTTGCTTTAGGAAAATAAGTTAACTATTAAGTCAGATCCAAGTCAGATCCAGGCTTGATGCTTGGCTCTGCCATATTCTAGCTATATTATCTTAGAAAGTTTATTGACTACGATTCTCAAACTTCTTTTATTTATAGNTGATGTGAAGAGTTGACTCATTGGAAAAGACCCTGATGCTGGGGGGAATTGGGGGCAGGTGGCAAAGGGGACAACACAGGATGAGATGGCTGGATGGCATCACCAACTAGATGGACATGAGTTTGAGTAAACTCTGGGAGCTGGTGATGGATACGGAGGCCTGGCGTGGTGTGATTCATGGGGTTGCAAAGAGTCAGACAGGACTGAGTGACTGAACTGGACTGAATTGAACTGAAGAAGGTAATACAAATATTTTGTTGCTAATTAAGCCTTATATAAAAGAATAAATCTGGTGCCCAGGCATAAGAGCATATGTGATTTTGCTTAACTGCCTGGAGCAGTTCCACACATTTTTAGCATATTATTCTGTGACTTTGGGATGGATCATAACTGTTTCATCATGCAATAGTGATCTCTACATAATTATTAAGACAAAACATTTGCCTCTTCTAAGTCCTTGTTTCATGATCTGACTTTGTGCTAGTTGCTTCAGTTGTGTCCGACTCTGTGCGACCCCATGGACTGTGGCCTGCCATGCTCCTCTGTCCATGGGATTCTCCAGGCAACAATACTGGAGTGGGTAGCCATGCCCTCCTCCAGGGGATCTTCCTGACCCAGGGATCGAACCCAGGTCTTTTATGTCTCCTGCTTTGGCAGGCAGGTTCTTTACCACTAGCCCCATCTGGGAAGGGGAACCCAAATTGACAGCCTTCTTCTGCTTTCCTGTCTGGAGTAAGTGTAAGAACTAGAAACAGATAACATGATCTCTATTTGCAGATAATGTAATTGTATAAAGGGAAACCCTAATGTAAAAATATAAAATTAAGAAATCATTCTTAATTGTACAACCAAAATTAACAGAATTAAAGTAGCAATATAAAAAACTAACAAATAAAAATCAATAATGTTTATATATCCAAAGAATAACACTAGAGGCCATCAAGGGAGGGTAAATCACATCTGTAGTTACAATAGAAAATTCTTAAAACCTAGGAATAAGTTTGAAATATTCATTCTTTAAACATGCAAAAGTAGACTTGAACAAATGAAAGGCATACCTTTGTTCATGGGTAAGGCAACTCTACATAATATTTATGTAAATTCTTCCCAAGTTAAGAAAAAATTTAATGTAATTTCATTAAGAATATTGAGATTCTTCTCTTAAAATAGACTCTTGATTCTTTTGGGATCAGGAAAAGGTAGAAAAATCCCATAAAGAAGAGCAATGAGAGGAACTAGCCCTGTATGATACTAAAACATTTTATTGTTGCCCTGTAAATTAAAAAAAGCATGTTCACTGATACATAACTAGATATACAGAATGACAGACTAGAATAAAAAATTTAACATAGAACAGTTATATGGGAAAAGTGACGCTTAAATCACTGGTGAAAATACACTATTTTTAATACACGTTTTTGGCATAACTAGATAGCCATTTGGGAAAAGTAAAATTGAATCCATATTTCACCCTGGATACCATAATGAAATCCAAATAATCCAGATATTTAAATGTAAAAAATAAAACTTCAAAAGAAAACAAAGATTCATTTCTTTATAAACTGGAAGTGAGAAAAACCTTTCCAACTATGATTATCAATCCAGAAGCATCAAAGAAAATACTAAAACACTGACAGACTTGACTCCATAAAAATAAACTTTTTCAAAGCAAAGGGGGGAAAAAAGCAAAAGCCACTAATCAAACTAAAATCCAGAAGAAAATATTTGCAATTTATATCACAAAATTAAATTACAATCACTTAAGCGATAAAGAGCTCTTAAAAACTGGAAAGAAAAAGACCAAATACCATTGAGGAAAGATATAAACAGAATTTAAAGAAAAAGCTGATGTCCTTCAACTTACAAAAAAGAGCTTCGTTCATACAAAGAGAAAGGCATATTAAAATTACTGACACATACTATTTCTCACCTTTTGAGATAGTCTAAAATACAAAAATCTGAAGAACTGTGATGGCAAATAATAATGAAACAGGCACCCTTAGGCAATGCTAGTGGGAGTGCAAAATGGTACAATTTTCTATGGAAGGGAATTTAGCAATGTCTAACTACATTGCCTTTGCCTTTATCATTTGACTCAGCAATTCCACTGAAGGTACACTTCCCCGAATATGAAATACTAATGATCATTTCTTGTGTGGGAGTTCAGGGCAGGCCACCCCAAAGTATGCTACTTTGACACATTGATTGTTTTGAATTCAAATTGAGAAACAGCCAGTGCAAGAAGGACATTCTGACCCTGCCCTCTTCCCCCTGAAATCAGGAAATAGATCTCCCATTCAAAAGGCAGCCTTTGAGCACCAGGGCATGGGACATCTTCATGTCCAGGGATAGAAAATTCAAGACGAGACGATTCCGTTTCTTCACTCATCAGTACCCAAGCCTGAGTGTCTTTGTCAGCTCTTCACAGAGAAATTTATTGTTTCTTTGTCTAAACAATATAAAAGCTGCCTGCTTTAGTCATTTCTTTGAGTCTTAGTGAACTCCCATATGTATGGAGTTAAAATTTGACCATTTTCTGTTAATCTGTCTCATGTCAATTTAATTATTAGACTACAAGAAGAACCTAGAAAGTCAGAGGAAAAAAATTTCTTCCCCAACACTATAATTGCAAAAGATTGGACATAACCTATCCTCAGTTTGTCAATAGATGATTGAAAGTGAAAGTGTAGTTCCTCAGTTGTGCCCAGCTCTTTGCGACCCCATGGACTGTACCCCGTCAGGCTCCTCTGTCCATGGGATTCTCCAGACAAGAATACTGGAGTGAGTTGCCATTCTCTTCTCCGGGGGATCTTCCCAACCCAGGGATCAAACCCAGGTCTCCTGCATTGAAGGCAGATTCTTTACTGTCTGAGCCGCCAGGGAAGCCAGACAGATGACTGACTGAGTAAAATAAGAGCATCGTGGTGGTTTTCAGTCACTAAGTCATGTCCGACTCTTTGTGACCCCATGCTCAAATTCATGTCCATTGAGTAGGTGAAGCTATCTAACCATCTCTTCCTCTGCCACCCCCTTCTCATTTTGCCTTCAATCTTTTCTAGAATAAGAGTATTATGCATTCATTTTTTAAAATGAGGAAGATTTCTGTGAACTTACTTCAAGGAGTTACAGAATCAGTTCAGTCAATTCAGTCACTCAGTCGTGTCTGACTCTTTGCCACCCCATGGACTGCAGCACACCAGGCTTCCCTGTCCATCACCAAGTCCCAGAGCTTACTCAAACTCACGTCCATTGAGTTGGTGATGCCAGCCAACCATCTCATCCTCTGTCATCCTCTTCTCCTGCCTTCAGTCT